CACGACCAAAATCGGTTGGCGACCAAATTTGTAGGGGTCAAAATGGACTAACCGTATTTACATTGAACCTTATGGGAAAATTTGATTCGGGTCACGACCAAAATCGGTTGGCGACCAAATTTGTAGGGGTCAGAATGGACTAACCGTATTTACATTGAACCTTATGGGAAAATTTGATTCGGGTCACGACCAAAATCGGTTGGCGACCAAATTTGTAGGGGTCAGAATGGACTAACCGTATTTACATTGAACCTTATGGGAAAATTTGATTCGGGTCGTGACTAGAGTCGCGGAACAAATTAAGTTCATGACCCGAGGTACCACTGTACTGTATATGTGTCTATGTATTTGTATGTCTGTGTATGTGTGCGTGTGTATACACACACACACACACACTTATATGGCAATTCACTAATAGTAACATTTCACTAAACAAGAAATTTCAAAAAAAAAAGAAAACAAAATAAGGGGAAGTTGGAAATAAAATGGGCCAAGTCAGTGCAGAAAATCTGCATGGTATATTATACCTCAATAGATAGCAATTGAATCAGAACTGCAAATGAGGAATTACTGTATGATGATTACTGACATGGTTAACAGGGCATGCACCACTTTGGAAATAATTCAGAAAATATATTTTGGAGTACTGTACATAGCTTTCTTCTGCAGCTGCAGTACAACCCTAGAAAAAAAAGATGCAGTGGCTTTCAAGAGTTGCACAGTAAACATAGTTGGGGGGAGGAGGGAGTTTGTGGAAAGGCACCCAAGACATTTTTTAACTGAACAAAGAGTTGAATTCTGGTTTCCCATACTTTCCCATGAGGTTTCCTTCATCATTACCGCTGTTCTTAGTGGCTCTGGGAACCTTTTCAGCTAGAAAGCAGAGTAAAAAGGGCTTGCAAATAGACAACCTACATGCATTGCATGTCTTTCAATTATTTTTGACATCTGCACTGAAATAGCTGTTGTTTTTTAATTCCAAGAAATAAGTGGAATAATAATCAAAGGTTTAGGAGCTACAGAATTGGTTCAGTATTCATATTATTGCTCAAGAGAAGCTTTAGACCATTTCACTGATAATTGTGTCAAAGGAAAAGGTGACCTGTTTCAAAGTTGCTCTACTACATTTGGGATACTCCAACTGAGGATACTAAGAGTGACCCTTAAAGAACAATCAAGCCACAAATAAGTAAAATTCCAGATATGGAGATAACTTTATTACTTTGAAATGTTTCCTTAAGGGGACAAAAACACTTACCAATTATAATGAACACATCAGCTTAACAGCTGAATACTGAACATGCTTTAGTTATTACATCCTTGGACAATTAACATGGGACTGCTAGTCTCTCTTTAAACTGGCTTATTCAAAGAGTAATCAGATGAAGAATAATTCCTTCAGCACAGCAAAGTCCTCTGATGTGACCCCCATCTCACAGATATGGAGATAACTTTATTACTTTGAAATGTTTCCTTAAGGGGACAAAAACACTTACCAATTATAATGAACACATCAGCTTAACAGCTGAATACTGAACATGCTTTAGTTATTACATCCTTGGACAATTAACATGGGACTGCTAGTCTCTCTTTAAACTGGCTTATTCAAAGAGTAATCAGATGAAGAATAATTCCTTCAGCACAGCAAAGTCCTCTGATGTGACCCCCATCTCACCCTTCCTCTCCTGCATATCTGAATTTGTATTAAAGGTTACTTAACTGCCAGCCCACAAATGTTGAACAAGCTGTAAGAAAGGACTTTTTGACTTTAAATTGCCTATGCTTAGCCTGTTCTGTAAAAAGACAACTCCTTGCAAGAAGAGAGCACAACAAGGAACAGGTAGGCTTAGAACTTATCCCTCCATTATGTGACAATTTATTTTGCTTGACGGTTTCTTTCAGCGAAGGATGTGCTGACCAGGCCTGGGAGAATAACTCAACAATAAAATCCAGGTTTTTGTCTGCAGGGAGAAGAGGTATCTCCATTTCAAGAAAACCTAAACTAGCTTCAAATTCAAAGGAGCTCTTGGGTGCAACAGCAGCTTCTAAGGATGAGTTGCTAGCAGGAAGGCCACTGGAGGTTAGTAGCAATTTCCCATAGACTGGACAGCACAACCCACTTCCCCCAAGAATGAAGCTAGATTGGTTTCAAGGACACCTGCGGATTCTCCATGCAGATCATGTTAAAGCAAATATGCATCAATTTCAATGCTTCTGCATGGAAGCCCCGCTTGCCAGTATGTGGTCAATGTAAAGCAGCAAGAACTGGTGCCTGAGAAGCTTATTTCAATCAGTTAGCACAGACTTGGTTAAATGTAAGACAAACTGACAAACAGAGAAACCTCTTTGCATATCCTTGTCTCAGGAGCTGAACACAAACAAGACACTTTTCAAAACATTCTGAAAAATTCATACTACAGCTGGGATAGAGGGGAAGAAATGTGAACTGAGCCAATTCTCTGTGGCAAAGGCAAGCACACATATAGAGCCAAAGAACCTGATTCCTAATGGCTGGAAGACTATTTAAGGAAACAGGAAAACCACAAGCAAGCAGGGGAGCATTTGAGTTTTAACAACTTGGCAAGAAAACATGAAATATTTTTTTGCACATACAGAAAATGCAAATGGAAAATCAAGCAATGCTATGGTCCCTGAATTCCCTGTTACATACATCAAAGCTCTTGGGCAGGGTTCAGAAAAAGGTAACAAAGTAGAAAATGGCAAATAAATTCTGTTTTTTGTGAAAATGTAATGAAAGCTTTAAGGGGGGGAAGAGAGATTTTGATACAAAACTAAACTGCTGTAAGCCTGCTTCATACTATCCCAACTGCACTGTATTTTACTATTATCAGCTAAGGTCATATGTTATTTCTTTTGCAGGAAAATATTCTATTTTTCTAAAGCAGTAGATCTAAAGCTTTTCAAACTTTTCAAGAAAACCTAGTATTTGTCAAAGAAACAGGTGGCTAAGGCAGGCTAGACAGCCATGTCAAGTGGCCCTTGAGTCTTCTTCCTTGAGGACTAATTTTGATTAAGCAGAAATGTTGTTAAAGTGACTTTCTGGAGTACAAAAAGAAAGCTAATATCATAAAACTTTCTGAGAACATTGCACCTTAGGAAACAGAACTAGAAGGAAAGGGAACATGTGAAAAATGACAGCCAACAGAATTTCTTGGCTTTGTGATATGCTGACCAAAGCTGCTGCAAGAATCCGTATGTGCTGAAATACTGATAAAAATGAAATTTTATTCAAAGATCTAAACAGAAAATTCCACCAGGGAAAGAAATCAAAAACTATGCTAACAATGGATCCCTCCCTCCAGGATCATCTAATAAAGTTCTAAGCCTTAGTCTTTAAGCTATTAAGAATAAGTAACAAGATAACTAAACTTACATGATTACTTCATTTTCCTGCCAATTAGTTGCCTATGAAGTTGGATGTGCTTAACTGAGCAACACTGTTGGGCAAAGTCTGGAATGTGGCAACTCCATCAATTTGGTGCAACAAACAGGAGATACAAAAGGGGAAGTGGGGAAAAACACCACAGGAAGGGGAGAAAATCCAACACTGGGGATGGGGTGGGGAACAGTATACCACACTCATGTTCAGACTAGGCAAAAGGACTCCTTTGGGCTCTTTTGCTTTGAACAATAGCCTCTCACATAACAAGCATTTTTTAAAAAACAAAAAACTTTTGCCATGGGATCCATAGCATTTGGGAGAATCAGCTGCTGTTCAAAAATCCCAGGCCTCAAACCCTCCTGGGTGTCCAAAATTAGCTAGTTTTTTATTATTAGTCAAAATGAAAAAAAAAAATTGCACCTGTAAAAGCAAGCCAACTGCAGAAGTAGCCCCTTGAGTTGGATCCAAACAAGTATAGAAGAAAGCTTTTTCCTCCTAGATTACTTCTACATGGAGAGAAAGGCTTCATCAAAAAGGACCATCTGGTTTTGGGACCAGTGCTGTCTAGCACTGCAGACTGGTTACTGTGAACTCATCCAAATTCTGGAGTTTACCATGCCATAGGCAAATTAACCCTTTGCACCTCCCAGACCTGTCCCAGGGAGACACGTAAAGCATTTCTGTCACCACACATTAAACTTGTCGCACTGAAAGATTCAGAAACAGTTTTTCGCCTCCTCAAAATGATTCTCAGTTCTCTTGGGAGGTGGAAGAGGAGGACTTCCCCCACCTCCCCTGCCCACCTGCGTATTCGAACATCGGGTATCCACTCAGGAACTCCAGAAGATGAGCCTGCTGGCAAGAGCTATGACTGTTCTGCTTCAGAAGCTAGTTTCGTGGCACGCTGTCTCACTGGGTTCGCGGAAGGAGCAGGATGCCGTGGCTCTCCGTGGTCCATTCCACCATCAAGATTGACTCCATCAAGTCCTTCACTTTTTTTTTTCAACTGCTGAGAAGATTCCAGCAGCTTTTCTAAAAAGAGAAGAAAATTTGGCATTGCCATTCATCTGTTTAGATGCTGAAGAAGCAGGATGAAAAATCTGCACATACGGTATGCATGTGGCCACGTCTCCGTCCTGCCAAATCTCTTTAACTGCATCCCTGGAGTTCCCAGAAATCATGCTGTCCACTTTTAACAAAAGTGTTGGGCTGCAGTTATCATTAATCTCAACGAGCAAACCTTAGGTTAGGATCATGGAGGTAACAGTCTAACTAACTCAAGAGCCCCAGTTTGTAGAAACAATAATCTTAAAAACAAAATTTGTATGGAATTTTAGCTTCATCAATGCAGAAGTCACATTCCAGTTCTGCGAAAGTCATGCACAAAAGAGCAAACAATGATACCTAGCACTTACAAAATACCTTAAGTGTTTTTAAAGCACTGCAAAAACATTCATTTGGTTTTAAATTCATGTCAGCCTAAGTCCACTCATAGGATATTTTCACTGACAAAAATGGATTGAGGACAGAATCAATTTTCATTGATTTCCCTCTGCAATTTTGTATAACCACTCTAGAGCTGGAGAGTCGGGTGACCCCTGGAATAGCACAGGAGAGGTGCTGAGGTTATAAAGGAGGAGACAGCAAAAATGGCTTCCTTTCCCTTCTGTGAATGAGAGGGAAAAATACATACTCCTGGCCCTAGAGAAGCAGTTGCTGTAACAGTTAAGTTACTGGAGCATAATCAGGGTTCAAATCCACCCTTAACTATGCATTGGGTGACTTT